AAAAAAAAAAAAAAAAAAAAAGGTTGTCTTTATTTGCCGTCTCCAGTTCTTCAGCCCTCACTCTCTTCTCCACACACTCTAATCAGGTTTGTCCCTCTCTACACAAAACTGCCCTTGTCAGGGTTCCCAATGACCTATGCACTGCCGAATCCAGTGGTTTGTTCTTCACCCTCACTGCCTCGGCAGCATTCAATGCTTGCTCCCCTTGGCTCCTGAGTCCCCACATTCTCAGATTTCTCCTGGTTGTTTCTGCTCAGCTTCTTTGATAGTTCTGCTTCATATCTCCCCTACCTCCACCTCGTGGAATGTCCCAGGGCACAGTCCTGATTGCTGTCTCCCTCTACACTCATTTCCTCCCACCCCACCTCATCCAGGCCTATGGCCTTACATACTATCCTTTCACTCACTATTCCTCCCAGATCCAAGGCTCCAGTGCTGATCTCTGTCCTGAAGTCCAGAGTCATACACCTAGCAGCTGACTCTGCAACTCCTCTTGGATGTCTATCAGGCATCTCAAGGATTACATGTCCATAAATGATCATTGGATTTTCCTCTCCAAATCCACTCTTCTCCAGTCTTTCCCAGATCAGTTTATGGCAATTTCATCCAACCAGCTGTTAATGCCAGAAATGTAGGAGTCATGCTTGATGCCTCTTTTCCTGCCCACATCCATGCATCAGCAAGACTTGATTTTAGCTCCAAAGCATACCCCAAAGTGACCCCCCTTCAGTGCACCTGCCCTGCCCAGGCCTAGGCCCTCCCCTTCGTTGCCTGGATGAGGGCAGGGGCTTCCACTCTTATTGCAGAATCCTTTTCTGAAAGCAGCTGGGATTATCTAAACAAAAGCTAGCCCAGGTCATTCCTGCTCAGAGGCCCCCATTGCTCCTCATCACACCAAGAACAAAACCCACATTCTGCTCTAAGGCCGTTAGAGCCTGGTTTTGCTGACCTTTTCCCTTCTGCCACCACCACCAATCACAGACACCTGGGCTTTCTTTATGTTTGGCCCTGTCCAGCTCCTGTCCCTCGGGGTCTTTTCCCTGGCTGCTCCTTCTGCCTAGAATGCCCCTCCTCTTGATTGCATCCTGATGTCACCTCCTCTGAGATTGCCCTTCCCCAGGCTAGCCCATGGCCCTCATTCCCTGGTATTTTCCTGTTGCTGGTATGTCCAGTCTGTCTGCAGCTACACTACTCTTGAGCCTAGCCTGCTTTGATAGAGCAACCTCAGGAGACAGGCTCACCCCAGCACCCACCCTCAGTCTGCACCTGGTACCGGCAGAGGGAATGCCGATGGTCGCGTGTCGCCGCTGGACTCGCGACTAGCCGAGCACTCCCCACTAGAGGGCAGTCCCGCGTCTAGCTCGGTTGGAACGCGGCTGAGGCCCCGCCAGTGCGCTGCCACAAAGTTCCACCCTCTCTGAGTCCTCAGGCCGAACCCCACTTCCATCCCGTTCAGGGAGTGCCGAGGCCAGCCTCAGGAATGGGTCCCGTGGGTCAGGCCCCGAGTGGGCCACAACCTCTCTGGGTCCGACCATACGGGGCGCTCTGCCTATGTGCGGGCGCAGCATGACGCCCCGTGAGAGGGACCGCTATTTCACCATTGAACAAATGGGGAGGATGAGGCCCCCGCACGGAGGCGACCTGTCCTGCGTCACGCAGCAAATGCAGGGTCCACTCAACCATCTGGGGGCTTGGGTATCCCGGGCCCGACCCCGTCCGGCTTCCAGCTACGACCCCGCCCTTCCCCACAAGAAAGGCGGCGGAGTCGGGAGGGACGCCGGGTTTTAGCCCCTCCCCCTTTGGCCGTGGGGCCGAGGCGGGGCGCGGCTGCCAGATGTCGGGGCGGCGGCGGCGGGAGCTACGGAGAGCGAGGAGCCGCGCAGCCAGGCGGAGGCTGAGGGCGCCGCTGGCCGGCCCGCCCAGCCCTCTCCGCGCGGCTCCGCCGGGGTTCCCAGAGGAGCCAGTAGGCTCAGTTGGGGCCCGGCACGGACATGCACAGCGCTCGGCTTGACAGCTTCCTCAGCCAGCTCCGCTGGGAACTGGTGAGGCTCGGGAGCGGGTGCGGTTAGGGAGGACGCGTGCGGGGTGCCAGGCTGCTGCCCGGCCGGAGCAGCAGACGGGTGCGAGGTGGCTGCAGCGTGCCCGTCCGAGGCGGGGTGGGGGCGGCGCGGCTCATATGGCTCAGATGGTCCGCGTCGGGTTTCGGAGGGTTGGGAACTGCGCTGAGCATCAGATAACAACATCCAGCTGGCCGTGCTGCTGGAACGGCGCGGGAGGAGAGAGTGGAAGGGGGACTTCTTTGGGGGTGGGGCATGGGGCGGCAAGGGACTAACGAGGTGCTAGCACTGCTGTGAACGCCCCCTACTTCAGGCTGGCCTATGCCTCCCTTCTCTACCCCTCACCTAGCAAGCGCTCTTTCTGTGAAAAAGGCTTTGGGCTTTGGGAGCTGAATCCCCCTCCAGTCCTGGGCAGGACCTACTTCCCTGCTCAGGCCCACAACACTGCCTGCCCGCCCGGCCTGGTGGCGGGTGTCGACTTGCCCAGCCCTGCGTGCTGCAGCCTGCCGGACTGCCACCAGGTCGGTGAATGAGAACCACACCAGCTTCGAGTGCCAGCACCCCATGCCTGCCCTGTGCTCACTAGCACCCTGCTGCCCAGGCCAGCAGGCCTATCTAACCCTCCTGGACCCTCTGTACTCTGGGCTGACCTGGTGACAAGTGATACCTCTCTGACTTCTGCCCTCTCTTCTCCTCAGTTGTGTGGTCGGGACACAGGCTCACCCCCGATGCCTGGTCCCCTGCAGCCAACCCCCCAAACTGGCCCAGATGTGCAACCCCGCCACCAGCTTAGGGCCTCAGGTGCCTTGGAAGAAGACTCAGTCTGCTGTGTGGAGGAGGAGGAAGAAGAGGCAGTGGTGACAGAAGACAGGGGTGCAGCCTTGGGAGGCCCCAGGGAGCATGCCCTGGACTGGGACTCTGGCTTCTCGGAGGTGTCAGGCAGCACATGGCGAGAGGAAGAACTACCTGTTCCCCAGCACCCAGCACCCTCAGCACAACCCCTTCGTAGGCAGCGCCTCTCAGTCAGTGGCCTCCCCATGCCCGGCAGGGCCCCTGTAGCCAGTGTACCACCTGTCCACCGTCCACGGCCCAAGTCCACCCCAGACGCCTGCCTGGAGCACTGGCAGGGACTGGAAGCAGAGGACTGGACAGCAGCCCTACTGAATAGGGGTCGCAGTCGCCAGCCCCTGGTACTGGGGGACAATTGCTTTGCTGACTTGGTGCACAACTGGATGGAGCTGCCTGAGACAGGGAGTGAAGGAGGTGACGGAGGTGGGCACCGTGCCCATGCTCGGCCCCCTCAGTTCCTGCTTGGCCTCTCCGAGCAGCTTCGGCGCCGGCTGGCCAGGGCTCGGCGGACAGCTATGGCAGGAAAGCGGCTGTCATGCCCACCTCGCCCAGAACCTGAAATGCCTGCGGATGTCTCACGCTTCGCAGCCCTCATGAGCTGCCGTAGTCGCCAGCCCATCATCTGCAATGATGTCAGCTACCTCTGACCCTGCCCTCCAGCCTGGGACAATAAAAGCCTTTTTTCTAGACTGTCCTGGCTTCATACCCCTGAGGCACTAAGAGGCAGCCCCAGCCCTGTGAGGCACTGCCCAGGCAGACAAATCTGAAGAGCTTTTTGTCTCTGTGTGAAGGTCCCTGTCATGCCCATGTCACACCTGTGTGCATTAGTGCACTGTGTTCTATCATCCATCCTCTCCACTATGCCTTCCTTGAACAAGCATTTATTGAGTGCCTACTGTGGGCTTACAATGTAGTGCTTGGGATCCAGGGCTCCATTGAGCTAGGTGACGGGGTGGCTGCCTTGTCACAGCTCATAGTGCAGAGGTGGAAAGGCAGTGTCTTCCTCTTCACCCTCACAGCTCAGCTCCAGCACCAACACCCGCAGCCCAGGAGCAAGTACCTGGCCTGTCACCTGCTGAACCAGTTCTGTCACCCTAGTGGGGGTGGGGTTTAGGGGAGATTGGAGAGGTGAGCAGTGGCAGGCAGTGGGCAGCCTGGCATGGACTAGAGAGGGTGCTGGCAGGCCATCAGGAGCCCAAGCCAGGAGCAAGAGGTACTCAAGACAGGAAACATCTGAAACTATTTTAGGAGCAGCTGGTGAGGCAAGCAGGAGGCAGGAAGCTATGGGTCCCTTGGGAGTGGGCTGTGAAGTGGGGGCTGTGCAGCGTGTGGGGAGCCCATGGGGCTGGCCAAGTAGGCAGCTCCTGAAGACTCCTCCTCAGGCTCTCGGCCCTCACCCCACCTCCAGCCTTTTTTGCTGGCTCCATTTGGCAAAAGAATGCTTGGGAAGATGTGAGGAGCCCAGAATGGGGCTGGGAAGACAGAAGGCTGTGTGGCCCCTAGCCCCAGCCTCCAGGGACTGGTGGGGCCTGTCTAAAGCCCCGGTGGGCTCACCTGAGGGGCAGGCGCTGGGCCTGCTTTTCAGGCGACCATCCGGCGGAATAGAGCAGGGCTGGGCCGTGCAGCAGCATCCTCACCCTCAACCCGTGCTGCTCCTAGAGGGAGAAAGGTCAGACACCAGCTGGGCCGGGCTGGGCTGAGCCTGGGCGTTGGGGTAGGGACAGGGCACACCTGAAGATGAGCCAGCAGCAACTCCAGGGTCCTCTCAGGCTGCCCAGCTGGTACCTTCAGACGGTCCCAACAGGTCCACTTCAGGTGATGGAACTGGAATGAGGTAGAGGAGGAGTGAGAGACTTCTTACCTACCCCCAACCCCCATCCCAGTTACCAGCAGCCTTTCCTAGGGGAAGAGCTGGACTAGCAGGAAGCAGGAGCCAAGGGGTGGAGGGTGGGGGGGAGGTGGGATCTGGGCCCAGAGTCTCAGCCCCCTCCCCGCCCAGGCTGGGGCCAGCACAGGAAATGGGGCTATGGGGCCCGCACAGGGAAACAGACGATCCATCACATGGGCCAGTCGTGAGGGTGGGGGATGAGGGGGTGGTGCTTCCTGAGGAAACCCACAGCAGGGCCCCTGCAGCCTCTGATAAAGCTGCTTGTTCCTCAGAGACAAGGCTGGGAGCTGAGGGGCACATCCTGTCCCCCAATCTTATATGTATTGCCAGTGCCTTGGGCTACTCATTGGGACACGGGCAAAGGCCACAGTGACCACCAGGGCCCCACTGTCCCAGAGACCCCAGCAGGGATACAATGCATACAGGCTTCCTCCTCCTGTCCCCTCTTTCCTTCCAAGAGTCTTGGGGTTCTGGTACCTAGAGCTAAGGACAGAAGGGCAGCTAGCAGGTATCTAGAGACAAGGACAGGGGGTGCCTATCAGCCCCCAAGAAAACACTGGGGTCAAGCTGAGACTAGGCTAGAGGTGAGATGGGGGCTTCTCCTTGCCCTGCTCCACTCCGTGGACAAAGGCAGCCTGTGTGCTGGTTAGAGGCAGGGTGCCTTAACAAAGGGGCTCTGTGTACTATGTCCAGAGGGACCCCAGGCTGCTGAGCAGAAGCCCAGTGCTGGCCCATGACCTCTGCCCTCTCCCCTCGTGAGGGCATTCCTTCTACCCCCATCCTTGCCCCAAGGAAATGCCAGCTGCAGAGCCTGAGCACATGGCTGGAGGCATTCACAGCCCTGCAGTCACAAGAACACAAATCCCCACAAGCCCAGGAACACACACATGTGTGCCCACATGTATCTCCATGCAGACCCACATTGAGGACACAGGAAGATGGAAGCCCTGCACTCCCATCTGACACACAGATGTGCAAACTTGCTCCTTCCATACCCACACTCCAGGGATACCCAGACCCCGGGTGCACTCACAGCTGTGACACAAACACAGGGCTGCAGACGCCACACCTCTAGTGGCAAGCCTATTACCCTTTAACTCAGCTTGCAGGAGGTAGGCCAGGGCCCCTGTACCATGCAGGGGGAAGCTAGACTCTTTCTGGGGCTGAGGCCCTGGTCCCCTCCCCACCACCTACCCCTCAGGGGTACTCCAAGGAAGGAGGGGACTGTAGGGGATGTCTGGCTCCACTAATGAGTTAAAGCTGCAGCTCCCCCAGATCCTGGGCTTTGGAGGGTTGGGGGTGGGGATGGCTGACGGCTGCTTCCTGTGTCTGCCGGGTCCCAGCCTGGCTTCATAGCAGGAAGAAGGCTGGAGGGAGTCTTCAGGACTCCTGCACAGTCTGAGTCTCAGTGAGAGCTGGCAGCTAGATTGGGGCCTGTGTGGGCAGGTGCAGGGGAAACCTAGGCCTAGTGGGGCTAAGGGTGGGGTATCATGGGCTCACCGTCTGGATGGCTGGGGCAAAAGGCATATAGCGGATGAGGTAGTTTTCAGCCAGATGTAGGTAGCTGTGGCGAAAGGCACTACGAGGCCGTGGCCCACCCACCACCTTATACAGCTCTAGGCCCAACAGGCCTGCCACGGCTGCTGTAGTGGTGGCAATGGCTGGGATAATCTGGCCCACAATTCGCTTACTCTGCCAAGGACAAGAGATTTTGTGTGGGCCCAAGGCGTAGGGCCAGGGTTTGGCCCCCACCTCCAGGCCCGAGCCTCAAGGGGTAGGGTTACCTGGGCACGGCTGACGGGTGGAATCCCATAGTTCTGACATCGCAGGCTAGCTGCCGCTGCCACAAAGTCCACATGGAAGTTGCTGTCATCATCCTGTAAGGTCCAAGTCAAAGTAGTGTTAACACTGCAGCCGTGCCCCTCACCATGGCCCACTGTGTGCCACTGCACAGTTCTGTGGGGGGGTGCCCCCCATCTCCTCTTGATCAGACAGGCTGAGGTTCAGGGAATGTGAGCTGCTTCCAGGGCCTTGCTGGGAGAATTCAGGCCAAGGGGCTCCAAAACTACCTTATTAGCTCCTGACTTTTCTCCACAAACTCCCCAGCCCCACTCCTCACTGCCACTTGGGCTCCCACCTTCTCAAACATCAGAGGTTTCAGGGGAGGGCCCACAGTCCAGAATTCCAGGGCTTTGTTCAGTTCCTTCAGCTGCTCAGGGCCTGTCAGGGGAGGGGATGTTGAGGCAGTCCTTAGCCCCTGTCTCCTGCACTCTTCCTGGAGCCCTGTGCCTATTCTTGGTCTTTGCCAAGCCTGTCACTATTCCCTAATCAAATCAAGAAGCCCCCTTAATTAATGCTACAATCTCCCCTCTAGAAGCCCCAGTCTTCACCCATTTGTGTGCATGACCTCTGTGACTCTGTCCTCACTTGCAGGCCATAGCTAGGCACTCCCCAGGAGCCAATGGATTTATTTACTTATTTATTTTGCCAAGAATCTGCCACAAGAACTGGGATGTGGTGTAGGCAGCAGGGAGAAGACCTACTGAGGGACCAGAGAATAAGCCTGAAGCTATGGAGGAGTGAGGTTAGGAGGCCTGAGAGGTAGCGAATTGGCTGTAGATCCCCTAGGGCCTATCTTCCTTCTGCAGCACAGGCTGAGGACAGTTCAGGTTCAGGCCTTTGAAAGACAGCATGGGGGGCCAGGGCCAGGAGCCTCACCAAACTCAGCAGAAGCTGAAGCCAGCTCTAGATTACTAGCAAAGATGGGGGCCATCTGTTGGGGGTCAGGCTGTGGCAGCAGCTTCAGCAGCTCCCTGAGTGCAGTTGAGTCCTGTGAGCCAGGCAGCCCATGCATCTGGGCATACAGGTTGGCAGCTGCCAGTACGTAGAGGAGGTGCATGTCCTGTAGCCAGACCAAGAACAGGAGCAGAGGCATGGGTGTGAGTGAGCATGTATGGGTGCATGGGGTAGGGGTCACTCTCCATTTGTGGATCTGTTTGAGTGTCTGCCTTTGCCTCACATGTAGACACCCATATGTGCACAAGCATGGCTGTCTCTGGGCATCTGCGCATCTCTGCAGAATGCAGAAATGCCAACCTCTGCTCTGAGGGGCCACATCTCTATCTTGGAGCTCCCTAGGGAATCCCACTCACTTGGTTGGTGTCAAACTCCAAGGGCTGGGGACACTGTTTGGGACCCGACCAGAAGGGAGTTCCATCCTCAAGCACCTAGGTAGGTAAGTAGAAGCTGCTGGGCTCAGTCTGGTCCCTCTGAGCCCCCAGCATCCCAACCCCTAGCCACACACTTTATTAGGTGGGAAGTGCCTCAGAAGCTGTTTGATGCCATAATGGAAGCAGAGTTTCCAGTGGCCAAGAGCCCACGCCACACAGTCTTGCCAGTTCTGTGGACGCAGTCTCAGGACCCCAAGCACCAGCTTCAGTAAAGTGAGTGTCTGTGGCCCATCCATGTCTGCCAGGGAAGTGTGTGCCCTGCAGAGAGAGGAAGAAGTGTGAGACTGAGTCCTGCAGACTCGTACTTGGAGCCCTGGACTCCTATCTGCCTCTGTTGGTGGCCTTACTGTTGGTGGTGGTTGATGGTCTCTGCAGACAGTCGGAAGAGTCCCTCAAACTCATCCCGGGCCCACTGTGGAGGAGGGAGGAAGAGTGAGGTGTCAGGTGGAGAATAGGTCTGCAGCTGAGGGCTGAGCTGGGTAGGGTGGGAGTCTCCAGGGTGCTTCCTACCTGCAAGGTGTGCTCGGCTGTGCTAGGGAAGTGCCGCACGGTACAGACAGGGTAGGGGGCAT